GTTCAGTCCTTTGTACGTTTTTTAGTGGGGTTATTTGTTTTATTGCTATTGAGTTGTGTAAGTTCCTGTTTCTCTTTGACAGTTATTTTCTCTTGTTCTGTAGGTTGTCTCTTCAATCTGTTGATTGCTTCCTCTGATGTGCAGAAGCTTTTTAAGTCAATGCAATACCATTTGCCTGTTTTTGCTTTTTGTGCTTTTGGGGTCATTCCAAAAGACTTGGCCCAGATCCATGTCAAAGAGTCTTTCATTTTTATAGTTTAAGGTCATGTTTAAACCTTTAGTCCATTCTTAGTTATTTTCTTCTGGGTTGTGCAATGAATGTTTAATTTCATGTAGATATCTTGCATATATATATGTTCAGCTTTCCCAGAACCAGACAGAAAAAACTATCCTTTCCTCATTTGTGTATTGGCATCTTCATAAAAATTAATTAATATGCCAAGACATGTTTCTAGGCTCTCTGTTCTGATCCACTAGTCTATATGTCTGTTTGCTTAAGGTTATTTATTTATTTGAAAGTCAGTGTTACAGGGCTAGGAGAGAGAAAGAGAGAGATCTTCCATCTGCTTGTTCATTCCCCAGATGGCCACAATGGCTAGGGCTGGGCCAGGCTGTAGCCAGGACCCAGGAGCTTCATCCAGGTCTCCCACATCAGTGCAGGGGCCCAAGCACTTGGACCATCTTCTGCTTTTCCCAGGCCATTGCCAGACACTTGGATTGGAAGTGGAACAGCCAGGACATGAACTAGTGCCCATTTGGGATGCTGGCATTGCAGGCACTGGCTTTTCTCACTATGCCACAATGTCTGTTTTTATGCCGTGTTGATTTCCATATCTTTGTAGTAGCTTCTCAAGTCAGATAGTGTGATGCCTCATCCAGCTTTGTTCTTTTTGCTCAACATTGCTTTGGTTATTTGGAATCTTCTGTGCTTCCATAATGAATTTTAGGACTGTCTTTCCATTCCTGTGAAAAATATTTCAGAATTTTGATAAGAATTGCATTGAAACTGTATATTGACTTGGGCATTAATTATTCCAGTCAATAAAGAAAGAATACCTTCCTTGTGTCTCCTTCAGTTTCATTCAACAGTTCTGAAATTTTCAATGTATTGATATTTCACTGCTTTAATTAAGTTCATTCTGATGTAATTTTAGAATCTATTATAAATGGAATTGCTTTCTTGATTTGTTTGGGGTAGTTCATTATCAGTGTATAAAAACACTAGTGATTTTGTATATTGATTTTGTATTCTGAAAATTATTGAATTAATTTATTCTAAGTTTTTTTGGTAGAGTCTTTAGAGTTTTCTATATATAAGATAATCTCAGCTACAATTAGGGACAATTTAACTTCCTCCTTTCTGATTTGGATGCCATTTATTTCTTCCTCTTACCTAATTTCTCTGACTAGGATGTCCATCCAGTGCTCTGTTGACCAGAAATGTTGAGAATGGGCATCCTTTTTTGTATTTCTGATCTTAGAAGGAAAGTTTTCAGTTTTTCACTCTTGAGTAGGATGTAACTGTGGGTTTGTCATACATGGCCTTTATTGTATTGAAGTACATTCCTTCCGTACCTAATGTGTTGAGTGCCTTTATCAATAAACGATGTGGAATTTTGTCAAATACATTTTCTTCATCTATTGAGATGAGCACATGGTTTTTGTCCTTTCTTTAAATTTGATATATCATGTCTATAGATTTGGTTGTGAGAAATATTCTCATAACTCAGAGAAATCTAACTTGATCATGGTGAATGATCCTTTTGATGTGCTGTTAATTTCAGTTTGCTAATATTTAGTTGAGGACTTCTTCACCAGGGATATTGACTGTAACTTTCCTTTCCTCTAGTGTTCTTGTCTGACTTTTGTATAAGGGTAATATTGGTCTCAAAAATGAATTTAGGATTGTCTTCTTTTTTTTTTTTAAGATTTTCTTATTTATTTGAGAGGTAGAGTTACAGAAAGAGAGAGGGAGAGACAGAGAGAAAGGTCTTTCTTCCACTGGTTCACTCCCCAAATGGCCACAGTGGATCCAGCTGGGCCGATCCAAAACCAGGAGCCAGGTGCTTCTTCCAGGTCTCCCACATGGGTGCAAGGCCCAAGCCCTTAGGCTGACTTCTACTGCTTTCCCAGGCCATAGCAGAGAGCTGGATTGGCAGAGGAGCAGCTGGGACTAGAACCGGCATCCATATGGAATGTACCCACTACACCACAGCACCAGTCTCTTGTCTCTCTAATTTATTGGAATTTTTTTAATTGGAATTTTGAGAAGCACTGACATTCATTCTTTAAATGCCTGGTACAATTCAACAGTGAAGCAAACCATCAGATCTGGGGCTTTTCTTTAATGGGAGATATTTTATTCTTCATTCAATCTCCTTACTCAATATTGGTCTGTTCAGATTTTCCATTTGGTCATGGTTTACTCGTGGCAGCTTTCATGTTCATGTACAGCAGGCCATGAGAGGGTGTGGCTTCGCCACTGGGCCTGACTGTGTCTTGGGCTTGGGTGTTGGTGTTGTGGTTGTTCCCTGGGCCTATGCTCCGAATAGCAGGGGGTCATAGCATAGCAGCAACGTGGATGGGGATATGAAGTGCCTTCCAGGTTGCTTGGTCCCAGGAGGTGGGAACTGCAACTGCTTGACTGGGGAGTGTGCAATGGCAGCAGAACTTCAAGGATGGAGAGATGCAGTGGCCTCTGGCCCCTGGCCCCTCGTACAGGCTGAACATTAACAGTACCTCCAGTCTCAAGATGACTCTGCAATAGGAGCTTGGAGTCCTGAAGTCTTAGAACCAGAGTTTGCAGCGTGGGCATGTGCAGCAAGAGCTTGTCTCAGCAGTCTGGAGTGCAAACTAGCTCAGTTTGGTGATGGCTGTGATGTCAGATGTGGGTGGGCTGAACACAGCCACACAGCCTGTCTGGCGTGTGGGCACTGTCAGAGGGCTGTGGGTCCAGGGCCTGTGAAGGGTTGGGAGACATGGTGATTCAGTTCCCAAAGCAGCTCAACGGCTCAGAAGCTGTGTCTGCTTCCCTGGCAGGAATGACTGTTGATGACCCCAGTGGCAAGAGAGGTAGGTGTCTTCTCAGAGCAGGTCATTAGGGAACAGTGATACTGATGGCCTTTGCCTATCCTGTTTGCTCCCAGCCCTCTCCCCATGTCTCAGGTATACCAGTCTCACCAGCAGTCCTTTCTGTGTGGATATTCCCCAGTTACTGTTTTCTCACTTGTGTCACTGCAGATTCATTAATGAGCCCTTCAGCCCTCATGTGCTGTTTTGGGTTGTGAATAACTGTGTATGTTTGTTTTGTTTCTGGGAATATGAAGGTTGGTGTCTCCTACCCACCCCACCCCTCATCTTGGTGACGTCCCCTCCTGGTTTCTTTCAAGATACCTTCTTCACTGTCCTTCTGTATTTCAGAGTTAGAAGCTAAATTTATACACCTCCACATTTGGTCCAGATGCCTGTGTCACAGACAGATGATGGGCTGTCTCTGATGTTTGAATTCATTTACAAGCATTTGATTCAGCACCTGTTCACAAGCCTGTGGGGGCATGAGTTGACTTTCCCCATATGTCACCACAATTCCTCAATGCCTTATTAAAGGGATTGTTAATATACAGCTTTTGGGGGAAAATTTTTACAAATATCAAAACAAATCAAGCATTCTACATAACTTTCCAAGTCTCCAGGGAGGTGTGGGCAGCAGGACAAAGTGCTCTTAACCTGGAATCAGTGGTACATCCGTGTATGTAATACACATTTACAGGTAACCTAACCATTCTGCATTCATCTACCTAGGTTGATTGTCTGTGGGGTTGCTCTCAGGAGGAGCTGAGCAAACTTATGGGCAGGGGGATCTTGCTGGTGTCCATTCCCACAGAGCTCCCAGCCTGGGATGTTGCTCCAGATAGGGTGTGGACCTCACCAGCATCTGCGATGTCTGTGATCACACAGTCACCCTCCTCTGCCTCCTCTTCTGTGTTTTCCCAGAAGTCATCTATGTCCATGTGCCTGTGCTTCTTTGTGAACTGAATTATGTACATGCTGCCTGCCAACTTCCTCTTCCAAAAATGGGCATCCCCCAGTGGGCCAATGGTGTGAATGCCAACACTGTCCTCTGTGTAGACCAAGAGGAGCACCCTTGTGTTCTCGAAGCTCAGGGAAGTCAGGACTGAAAGGATGTGAATGGAAGTCCCTCTGATAATATTGCATCCCATTTGCTTTGCTGCCCCCTCTGT